AAAAAAGAAAAAAAGAAAAAAGCGGAACCGAGGAAGCATCTCAAGAAAGAAAAAAATATCTGCATAGTGAATGCGATGGTATTTTCTTTAGATGATTTATCAGTATGGATGCAGATGATATATAGGATTTTGCAGCTCTCTGCAGCTCTCCACAAGAGAATAGTCGAATGTAGCTTTTTTTGTTCATTATATTTAATAAGATTAGAATTCTTTTCTGTGCAGGGTTCCTCTTTTGCGACTTTCTCTGCAAAGCGCTTCTTTAATAATCTTGGTTCCTTCCTTGCATCTTCTTAGGACTGCTGCACAAAGGAGACCACGAACTCTTTATGTGTTTAGTGGTTTGAACTTTCTCCTGCTTCCTTCCAGAAATATTTGCTGTTTTCCACTCTTTTCCCCAGGACTCACTGACTCATCATATGCTCTGCTTCTAATTACAGCTCTGCATAAATATTGTTTTTTTGTTGTTGTTGGTTTGGTTTTGGCGTAATCCTCTATCGTACAGAAATGGTAGCTTTTCTGTTCGAACCACCAATACGTATCGGCGAGGAGCTAGTCAGCTTTGTGTGTGACTTCTACAAGATACTTTCCTGGTTTGCATGTTGATAAAGCAAACGTGTTCATGTGCTGTTCATAGAAAGTGTTCAACTGCTTGGTCCAAACCCTCCACCCTGCTAGGAGGTGTTTAATGTCCTGAGAAAGGTCTGGCAGGCTCCACTGACTCACTGAAGCAGGTGACTCATTGCCCCTCATTAAAGGCAATGAATGGTCTGCAGTTAACTCCTTGGTAGGTAGATGTAGTCCTGGTGGCATCTCCCTTTAATTTAAGGTCAGGTTTGTGACTAGAACTAATATTTGCATGATTTAATTTATTGGAATAACTTCACTGAACTTGCTTGCTTGTAGCTTGTATTTACTGTCAGCTGCTTGCTCCGGCCCCTTGCTGGCCTTTTCCTGTATCTTCYCACTGTGCCGCTTATTTGAATTTCTGAATTCTGAATTTGAATATTTGAATTTCTGAATATTCTTCAGTCAGGGTGCAGTGTGTTGGCAAATTTGTACTACCTAATCTGTTCACTGACGTGCTTTGTTTTATTTTGGTATCCTTCCATAATTGCCTCTGAGAAGCCTTAAATATAGCAAGGGGATGGTCAAAGYACAGGGCTGACCTTAGGGCAGCCTTGTCTTCTGCTGTATGCTTAAGGTATATTTCTCTCCATTGCTTTACATTCATGTAGCAGGATTATGTTTAGGTAACTTTCAGTGCAGCTTAGGCTCAAAGCCACAATCACCATTTACAAAGTTAAGTATATATGTAATCTTTGCATAAGAGCATTTGAAACTCTAAGCTATTTAGGCAGAGTAACATGCTACCTCACGTACCCAGGCATACACATACACAACAGAGTATAACAGTTGTCTCGGAGTATTGGCACTTATTTGTCAAAAAGCAGTTGGTGTATCTGGAGATATTTTACAGTCAAAAGTAATTTTCAACTTCATGAGTTGTTCTAGCTAGAGTAATTATTAGTTCTATATTTATATTGGGATCCTTATGATGAGTCATACAAAAACTGGTAAGAAAAATTCAGTATGCTTTTCTCTGTTTCACTGAAATCGTGACCGAATACTTCTTTGCGCCTTTAAATCTGTTAAAAGTAGTAAACTGTAACTATTCCATATTCTCAAATGTTTATAGACTCATTTTCAAAATATAAACTAAAGCTCTTCTGATCTGCTTAGACTCACTCTGTGTGCCTGTCAAGGGACGCAGTTAACTATGTATTATACTTATTTTCAGTTTTGTTTCAATTATGTTTATAATTATGTTAATAATTATGTTTATGGAGCTATTTCCACTTCAGAAGGAAAAAACAAAACACATTTATGTAGAGCATTGGTTTCTTAAAGGAGATATATAAAACATCGCTCTATTTAAAGGTGCTTAGAATATTTATTTTGCAGCTTCTCAAAGGCCTGTGATGTGTTTCCTGCATGATAGTATTCTTTAACAATTTGCGGTTCTTATATCAGGAGGTTGCGAGAGAAAGCCTATTTTTAAGTAAAATATTTTAGGTGTATTCTCAGTCAAATACACAAAATGTGTTTTTCTTTCTCCMCCTCCCACCCCAGAATGATAACCAGCTGCATGGCAAAGGCTTCCCTTATCCATACTTCTAGCCTTAATACGTTATCATCATCTTTCATGTGCTTCTGCACAGCTTATCTTTCATTCAGCACAAAATTTTGTGGAATGCAATATGGTATTTCARTAATGATGCCCTTCATTAAAACCACCAAATTACCACATTTCTAAGAACTTCCAAGTATTTATTTTAAGCAAAGATTCACTAGAAATAACAGGCAGATTAATGGAAATGAAGTTTTCAACTAATTACAGCATCATAAGAAAAGTCTACATGAAYCTTAAAATTTGTATTTCTCCAAAGAGAAAGCAACATTATGGGTTTTAATAATAATAAAGGAAAGTAAAAAGGGAAAGAAAGGATGGTTTTGTTCACTTTTAAAAGGCTCCCAGAAGTTGTATGACTTCAAGAAAATCGTTGCCATCATCTGGCATTGGCTAAAGTGAGTAGCTACTCCTGTGGAAATAATTTAGAATGGTGTTTTTTCCTCTCTCTCTTTTTTCCTTTTTTTTCCTCTTTTGAATGAAAGATTCACCCATTTCTGAGCCATTCTAAATCAAGCCCTGTATGATGATTACTTGGTAATCAGTGTTTCCATAAGATGAAAATAGACTTTAAATGTTATTTTTTTGAAAGTGTAGCTGAGCTGCACTTCTGATCTGAAAATCAGTTTTCCATACATGTCAGTGGAAGTTCTGAGTCTGTGATAACATTCTTCACAGCAGATGAAGGACTGACATAAGTTCTGTGTGATTTCATATTGCAGATATAGATTTTTATAGTTGGGACTAGTGTAAAGTGAACTAGATTAGGCTAATGATTTATTAAAAACAGTGGTTTTGGCCTACATAGTGTGTATATTTTCTCTTGTTCAGGAATTATTTACAGGGTAATCACTCAGATCATTGAGACTTCTTACATTCACCTCTATTCTGTTAACTTTTTTCACCCTGAGCAAATGTATATGCACCACTCCACTGGCTGACTCACTGTGGCTTACAGCTAGGCAAAAATCAAGAATGAAATGTTGTCAGCTATTTTATAATCCTTTTGGAAATGATCCACTGTTGGGCTGTCACTAGATCCTTGACACCACTGATGAACTTGGAATGTTAATGTAGGTGGGTTAAGCAACTGTTTTTTAGCTGTCATCTCAACTGCACCAGATATGATGGGAGGAAGAAATATATCTAATCTGAAGTACTATGTTGTTACTTCTAAGTGAATTACCGTAAAAAAGAAAGTTCAAAATTCAATGTTTAATGTTAAATGGCATTGATGATTCCTGTGTGTCATGGCCTGAGAGGAGAATTGGCTGGCTTTTTTTTGCAGAGTATCTACAGCTGCTGAGAATATTTGCCTTTTCTTTTTGACAGGCTTTGCTGGTACTCCAGGATACCTTTCTCCAGAGGTGTTACGTAAAGATCCCTATGGAAAACCTGTGGATATGTGGGCTTGTGGTAAGAAATGATTATGAAAGTGTTCAGTCCACTTTAGAGAAAAAAGTACTCTGGGGGAGAGAGGTGGTATTCCAAATACATTATATTCCATATCAGAAAACAGATGTTTAGCTGAAATTCAATATACATTTTTAGAAGTGTTCAGATTTTTTGTTATTATTCTAGCTTTTTTGAAAAAAAAAATTGTGACTCTATGTTCTCTCTGCATTCTTGACGATGACTGCACAGCTTGCGTTAATGTTTTTAAAAATTTGCCTGTAGATGAGTATGTCCAACTAGTTACAAAACATATTGTAATTCATACTGCAAGCAGAATCTTAATAGAATCTTAATTGTGGATTTAATAGGTTCACAAATAACTTTAAAACCGATCTAGCCAAGATAATAGAACTACAGTTTTAAATATTTGAACTATATTTTTTTGTGGCTATAGTGCAGAACTTTTTGGTCATTCAGTTCTTTTAATCAGTGTTACTTATGGTATTGGCAAGGTGAGGTAAGCAATATTTTTCCATTACCACACACTTGGTTGCGTTTATGATTTTTTTTTTTAATCATTGTAAAATTACTCTATGAAAGTAACAACGTAGCAGGTTGGACTTAAATTTACCATCAGCCATATACTTAGAGAGGTTTGAGTTGCCCACTTTTCTTTGGCTGAGGTTTAGTTAAACGTCAACCTAAAGGCACCGCTTCRGACCCCAGTACTTCAGAGGAAGCACGAATACATTTTCATAGAGCATCTTGTATAGGTAGAGCATTAAGAAGTGCAAATCGATTTCTCTAGGTAAATAGGCAGTGTCTAGCAGACAGATATGACTTTTTCAGGTACACATTCTTGCCCACAGTCTGTATATGATGTGTCCCTGTTAACCCTTTATTTACTTTTATTAGCAGCGTAAAATAGGCAGTGTTTTTTAGTGAGCTTTTCAGCTAGGATACTGCTGCTGAACCATTTGTTTTACATGTAGTTTAGGTGCAAAATTAATTTCTGGAGTTTGTTTTAGTAAATTTCTTAATTGTGCTGTTAACTTTTTGCAGGTGTCATTCTCTATATCCTTCTGGTAGGATATCCTCCCTTCTGGGATGAAGACCAGCACAGACTCTACCAGCAGATCAAAGCCGGTGCTTATGATGTATGTGCCACTTTGCCTACTTAGCTAACTCAGATTGTACCTCTCAGTAGCTTTTTAGAATAAAAAAATAACCTAAATAGTTTTCCTATTTTTTTTACTTACAATAAATTCCTCTTTGGTAACATGAACTTTATATGGATAGGAATGTTCTATGCTGATTTATATCTTATTTCCTTATGCTCCCAGTTTCATTATCCAGCCCTCGTGTATGTCCTGAAAAGGTTATGTTTTCTTGACAGACCTTTGTACTTCCAACAAATACATCTGAACTCCCAGAAACCTGTCATTTTTTTTTCTTGTGGTCTTATCACATCAGATTATTTATCGTTTAGATCATTTAGATTATTCTAAATTGTTTTTATAATGTGTTAGGCCACCTGAACAGACATGTGCCATACTGTTGTGTTTTTGTAAATAAAAGTCAGCATAGAGCTCTTCAAAAATAAAATGTTTCATTATCTGTACATGTGTTCCAACAATAAGCATTATAACTGTTGGTAACTATTTGGAAAACTGAGCTGGTGCATGCAAACATGCATGAATTTTCCAACATCATCCATTTAAATTAAGCTAAACAGAGGACTATTGATGCTCAAATTTAAGCCACTTGTAAATGATGAAGAATAAAAGACGCAAAACCTTTTATCTTTTAAGCTACTTATTTGAATCCAGTTCTGGAGTGATAATGACTGATAAGTGATTGTCATGCCTTTTAGTGAAAATGTATTTATAGTCTGCCTAGTCTTTTTCTTATTGAAAAAATAATCATATAGCAATAAACAGGATGATAGTGAGAATTACAGTTTCAGCTGGGAGGGTAAGAAATGAGCGAGTGCAGAGACTGAACTCTGCGTCTGTGTTCTACTAACATTTTACATACTTGTGAAGTACTTTGCCTACCTTGTAACATTGCTATGATCTCAAATAATCATTTTTTAATAGTGGATACCTCAGAGTGAAATGATCAACTTAAGGTCTGTCTTCACAAAAGCAACAGACATGCATGTGTTTCATTCCATTTGCATTTACACTTAGAGTGCATGTGTAAATATTTGACTGAGCAAGGAAGTGTTAAATTAATGACTAATTAGATTTATACACCATAACTGTACAGTTAGCATGAAAATTAACTTGAAAGAAAGCAAACAAGGAGATTGTATAATAATACTTACTACTTGTATCTTTATTAAACTGAAACCACTTAGTTCAAATGGTTCTAGCAGTGACAAGCTGCATTTTTTTCTTAAACATGTTAAGTTGCCCTAGTGGTTAATGTTACAAAAATAGCATCAGTAAAAATCTCTATGTAAAATCATGTAACGATTATGCAAATTAATAAACATCTACATTTTTTTCTTAAGTTTCCGTCACCAGAGTGGGATACAGTGACTCCTGAAGCAAAAGACCTTATCAATAAAATGCTTACAATTAACCCAGCAAAACGTATCACAGCATCAGAAGCGCTAAAGCATCCATGGATCTGTGTAAGTAATTTCCACTTCAGCAAAATAATTTTACGGCCAAATGAATTTATAGTGTTCTTCAGCATCCAGTGAAGAAGATGTTCAGAGGATAATATTTGTCCTTACTCATGCTATTCCATTGCATCTATTTTTAGTAGGGAGTGGTAGATTGTCATTGTACAAATATAGTTGATAGTGTCATATATGGAGGTTCCAGCCTGAGTTTAACAGAAGCAGGCTCCTTTTCCTTAGCTTCATGGTTCGCTGCCGTTATTAGGCTGTGATACCTTCTTGGTAGTATTGCAAATTCTCAGAGAAACACAGGAAAGTCATTTTAAGTTATATGTATGTACATTGTCATTTTCCTGTAATCGTTATGATAAGCATGAAATTTAAAGACAGAAAATTAAGGGACATGTTAGAAGCCAATTTGTGAGTAATAAAAGCAGCCATTCTATTTTTGGATCCATAACCACTTTCCAAGTCTCAGCTCATGCTACAATTTGACTTTGCAGGTAGTCTTGGTAGAAACTCATAAGGAAGTTCTCAACTGTTTATTCATTCCAATAGGCTGCGTTATCTTTGCCTTGAAAACTCCAATGCAAATTAATTTGCTTTACAAGGAAAAGGTAGATATAGCTGAGCATTCTCTTAGTTATTTCCTGCTGCTGTAGTTGACCTAATACAATTAATGCCGAAAAAAAGCTTCCTTTAACCATAATTGACTATTACTTTGTGTGTGCAACCAAATTCTAATGTTATGTGTTTTTCTAAGTCCTTATTTATGTCAAAAAGTTAAATAGTTTCAGGAGTACCTTACACATGAGAAGTACAAATTTTAAAAAGTACTTAATTTTGTTGATTTGGAGATTTTCCAAAAGTGTATGATCCTGCATAAAGGGATGGTCACACAGAGTAGAAATTTAAGTCTTACAGGCATGGACCATGTGTGTTATAATAAACAAGTTTTACAGTGAATGATTTGCTAAATGTCTAGCTGGATACATTAAAATAATTCTTCTATTTTTTAGCAACGTTCTACTGTTGCCTCTATGATGCACAGACAAGAGACAGTAGATTGCTTGAAGAAATTCAATGCAAGAAGAAAACTAAAGGTAAGCAAGAAAACTGCAAAGGTGAGTAGATAAATTTGGAGAGAGAAAAATGTATGTTTATTTCTGTGCTATCTGTAAATTAAGTGGCCATAAAATAATTTCCTCTTGAATATTAATATCCTCTGAGCAAGTGGTTAAATGATCTGCTTTTAATCATGTGCATCTGAAATTCTTAACAAAAGTAAGAAAGCAAAGCTATTCAGTGTAAACTATACTGCTAAGTATTACAAACATTGTGATGCTGGACTCAGTGTTTCTGCAAATCTATTTGCATTTTTAGTCAATTACAACGGAGTGTTTTAAAAAGGAATTTTTAATTATCATTACATTATTTTGTTTGTAAGAATGGCAATTATCTTAATTGATTAGAAGTAAAAGTACTTAATTGAAGGGGAAAAAAAAAAAAAAACGTGAAGCTGTTTTGTAGAATGTCCTTTGTTTTATTTTTATCAGCCAAGACAGGATAGTTTTACAAATTTGAACATTTCTGATCAGCACAAACTGACCAACATAATTGTGATCAGAACAAACCAACTTCTGTTCCTACCTCAAAAAAAAAAAAAAAAAAAATCTAAACACATAAATCAAGTCCATTTCATTTTCATTTTTGTATTTTGCAATTCAGTTGCTGCTTGCTGTGCCTGTAAGTACGCAGCATTTGTTCTTAACATACTGAGAATTAGCAAAAAGCTGCTAACAGATGCATACTTAAGCTCAGAAAAATGTATGCATTCACAGAAACATRTATGACAGATAATGTACAGAAAACACATTGTTTCAGGGTCAATTCAGCCTTTCCTGCTAATTAAGTGTGTTTTCTCTTGTGATGTGTTTGCATTCAGAATTTTACACAAGTGTAATGCTAATTGGAAAAAAATGTGTTTGTACACAGGGAGCCATTCTGACCACTATGCTGGCTACCAGAAATTTCTCAGGTATGTTCATGGAGCTCCAGGCTGAGCGGCCTTGGTTTTTTTAACCTTGTTGATGAACAAGATCTAATCAGGATTTATGTTGTACAGAAGGACCTTCATTGCCAAGGAATAGTCCTTGACAATGAATATCGAATATGTATTAATGAATATTGTTATTTCTATCACAGAAACAAACAGAAAATTAAACTATTTCAGCCAAATTGAGTATTTTCTAGCTGACTTCAACTAATGAAGTTTTTCGATGTAAAGTGTGTTCTCTCACGTTATTTTTTTGGTGTTATCTGTAGTATTTTGTTGAAAG